TGCAGTGTGAGTTCAGATTTTTACAGAATTGGGCCCTTTTAAAGTAGTCTGCAGCTGTGTATTTCTGTTTGCTCATGATTGCAGACCACTTTCTGGGGTCAGATCAGGCAAAATTTGTCACTTCTGTCTGTGCCCCATGTGTATGTTGCTGATACAGATTGCACTGCATTTCTTCTTGGTTGAAAAGCACCTTGCTTCTTTGTTGTTTCCTCTTACTCTCTTGTTATTGGTTGCATTTTTCTTTCTTGTTTTTTTCCCTCCTTCATAGAATCATAGAAAATTAGTGTTGGAAGGGACCTCAGGAAGTCATCTAGTCCAACCCCCTGCTCAAGGCAGGACCATCCCAACTATATCCTTCCAGCCAAGGCTTTGTCTAGCTGGGTCTTAAAAACTTCCAAGGATAGAGATTCCACCTCTTCTCTGGGTAACCTGTTCCAGTGTTAATGTATTTTTTAAAACATTTTTTTTCACAAATATTTTACAATGGGTACAGATATCTTTGACAAAATTTCTTAGGCCTCCTTTGTGTGCTTCTGTGATAGTTGTGTTGTCCCTCATTATTCATATTCAGCCAGTATTTCCATGGAATGTTTATATTACAATGCTCTTTTGCATATATTTTCCCTAATAAGGTTTCACTATTCTAAGACCATTGCATAGCAGCCAAAAATAAAAGACAAATTTCCCTAATAGCTTGCATTTTCTCATTTAATAATATGCTTTAATTAATAAGTCTGTCTCTAAAATTAATTCTTTTTATAAAGACTTGGCACAACATGATTTACATTTTATATATTAGCATGAAATAAATAAATATACCTCTCATAGCTCCTGTTAACAATGTTGGAAATAGACAAAAAAGTGGAGTTGAAATCTCTGTCAGTACCACTGTTAGTTTCATGTTGCAGAATTAAGTGACAGCTTGGCAGCTGAATTTTTTGAAGGTCATCTTCACAATAAGAATGTCAAGTGTGCATGGGGAACCTTTTATTTGGTTAATAGAACCTGGCCAATTCAGTTAAAACTCCTGGAAATATGTAAGAAGATTTGTAGGTCTTATTGAAATATTCAGATGTCTCTCATGTTAATTAGTATTTGCCATACTATTCCATCTGGGACAAATATTTTTATCCATTAGAATTAGAAATGAATGAATATTTCAGGTACCCAGTTTAAGAGCTGTGATTCTTAATCTTTGCAAAAATCTAGGTTTCATTTCTGTAGTTTTTATTTCCATGGTTATATTTTTAAAATAAAGATTGCATCTAATTTTTGTATGTCTGTTTCTTTAGGAATATTAAATGTGTGCAACCACTGCTGGTGGTTTTGCAATCTTTGAAAAAATTGTGGATTTGACCTTACTAGCAATACTTAGCTCCTGTTGCTGCTTTCTTCAAATTGCTTTAAATATTATTATAGCGATTGGTCAGCTCTGCCTTCATTATGCCTTTAGAGGAAATGTATGATCTAAAATTGCATTTAATTGTTGTTCCCTGGTAAATGGTAATTTAATTCGTAGAGCCCATTCTGTATCTTCCAGGGCATTCAGCTAGCTGCATATACATTGGGGTACTCCATGCCACACATTTAAATTAAACAAAGATGTTCTATATTTAGTGGCTGGTTTGCATCATGCTTTAATGTACATGTGTCTCATGGAGGTCCCCAATCTCCAGCTTCCTGGCACATCTTGGCACACATGCTCTGGCAGATGCATGATGTGATCTGAGGAATTCTTCCCAGATCACAGCAACCACATGTGGAACTTCCAATTAAATGTGGAACATCTTTGTGGCTGGTTTGTTATTTTTATTGCATGATAAGTTGGGTGATCATGTGATGTGTT